ATTACGTTGATTTTATTTTTGAGACCACTCCTTGCTGTGTTAATCCTTTTGTTACTTTCTAATGGACCTTCTTTACCATTTCTATTCCTAGACTAGTTAAAATATCGAGCCTCTTCTACTCAATTAATTATTTTTACTTTACCATGGGATCATTTATAATAATATTTATTTGATCGACGGGAGAAAGCCCCTGTGTTATGATGGTATGAAAATATATTGCACTAGTAACACATCAAAAAAAAATAAAGGAAAAACGAAGGAGATGATACAATAAAACAGAAGATACAATAGAAGATAAATAAGTGATTGAGATATTTTAATAATGTGGAAGCTGTCTATAGGGTGTCCCATAATTATGTTAACACCCGGAAAGGGGTGATTCCTGAGATCATTCGAAGTAACTTTTTTTTTAGCGAAAATGCAATTCGCGGCTTTTTGTTCCGCCGCGCGACAGCTGATCTCGCCTCTCATTGGTCAGTGTTTTTCGTTAATAACTCATAAACAAAGCCGCGGATTGCATTTTCGCTAAGGAGAAAGTTACTTCGAATGACCTCAGCAATCACCCCTTTCAGGGATGACCCTGAAGGAATCGTCCCTAAGATTGAAAAAGCGTTGAGTGCCAGGTATTTTCCGATCGATGGCGAAACAATCGTAGATCCGAACAGCGCGGCGGGTAAAAAAGGTCGAGTAGTTTTTCGAATGATTCTTTCCTTAGTCGAGACGGGTCGGTACGATTGTAGCAATTAGCGACTAATTGCCGCTGCTTCGGATCGTTCGGGTCCTCGAAAGCGTTCCGTTGCTTTCAACGGGGTTTGTCCTAGCGCTTCGGCTCGTGCTTGCCGGTTTTCCGTCAATTTGTCATGCACAATATAAACGGTCTTCGAGGAGGCTCCTCGAGCGGCAGACGAGGACAACCGCGACCTGTAATCCCGGCCACTTAAAATTTAATAAGCTTTACGCCGGACAGATGCGGCCTTTCGTTAAAAGCGAAATACTAATTTCGCCGAGATGAAAGCGGCCCTGTCTCGCTTCGCCTCGCCTCGAGGCCGTTGTCGTTTTAATCCGAGACCCGGTGGACTTTTTGGAACCCCTGTTTTCCTCGAATGGGACCGTGGCCGACCTGTCGGGAACACCGTCCTTCGATTATCGCGGGACGAATAGTTACAATTTTATTAGTAAATAGCTTCCGGTCGCAATTTACGACAGAGGAATTTTTCGAAATTACACCAGGAATTTTTCATTCCGTAGAAGGGATTGGGGATGTTGCAACAATGCAGGTGGTATAAGTGTAAACGAAGACGAGGTTTGATGAGGACCGGAGGTGATTCGTTGAGTCGGAAAAGTTCTAGAAGAAAATAACAAAGGAGATGGCTCACAGAAAAAATACATAAATAATGAATTAAGTAGGTGAAGTTCAATAACATTTTAGAAATAAAGTCTGTGTAAGAATTTGTAATTTAATCGAAGTACAGATATATATTTATATATATATATAAACAGGTTGATAGAAACAGAAATGGTAGGTTCGGTAGAAAAGGATTCATAAAAAAGTAGCAAAATAACTAATTCAGTGGAAATTACTCGATGATGAAATAAAAATAATTAAGTGGAAGGTGTTCAATGATACTTTAAAAATAGTCTGTGGATGAATTCTAAAAATCGAAGTACAAATAGAAGAAGAGTAATAAGAACAGAATGGTAGAGAAGGTCCATTAGAGTAACAAAATAATTTCTTTTTTCTTTATTTCTTTCTGATATGTTATTCGTGCATCATATTATCATACTATCGTAACACAGGGACTTTCTCCCGTTGATCAAATAAATCTTATTATAAATATTATTTATTGACAATTACTAGAACGCAAAATATCAAGAACGTTTAAGTAATTTGATTATATTATTGCATTAATGTCAAGTTATTAAAATTACCAAGAAAATAAAGAAACGTTTTAAGTGGTTTCTATATCTTGCAATTAATGAAGACAATTTTTGTTCTATTATTTATTTCTAATTTCTGTTGCTCAAAGAGTGTATCGATTTATATATTTCGCAATACTTAAAATCCATGCGAATCATTCAGCACATGTCACCAATGTCCTATTAATTTTTATTTTCTTTCATTTCATAGTGAAATCCTCTCTACTCCGTTCACAACAACTGTATGTGTGCTCGTGCATGAACGAGTTTCCTGGATTAGAATAAAATTGTATTTTTGAATTGCCTGGAAGTTCCGAAATTTTTGGTGGTTACGATGCGAATACCGGATCGTGGGAACATAATGATATATATTCTGCTAGCGAATTCTGTGACACGAACTTTGTTCAGAGATTGAGGTATTGTGGCCGACGGGGTGTCGTTAATTTCGTCGTTTTCATTTAGTTTCGGAATTTAGCTAATTTCAAGGTTGTAAACCGAGAAGCTCCGAGCAGTTGCCAGATGTCTGCAAATTTCGACGAAATTTTATTGTTGGGAAAGTTCCGCTGTTGCGAGTGGAAGGTTTATAATAGGGGTAGCCAGATTCGTCGACCTGTAGTAATATCCTTCTATAAATTTTAATGAAAACAGTCCCACGATTTATGTATGCGGAACGATTGCAGATGTTACCGTGTACTAATTCGATTAAAAATACTTTTAGAGATTTTCTCTAGGAAATCACGTTGTAGAGGACCACCGTAATTATTAGACTGCGAATTTGATGTATTTATAATAAAAATAGATTTAATGAAATTTGAAACACACTGTACAGAGATTAAAAGAGTTTATGATTATGTACACGTTGTTAACAGATTATTAAACAAAGAACGAAATTTATGTCTTGTTTTCTTTTCTTCGTTTTTAATTTTTAAATTTGCATCAAATCTTAAATTTGATTTAGTAAATCGACATTCTGGTACAACAAAATTACTGTATGCACTTCAAATATCACCGAACAACTCCATAAATATTCCATTAAAAAAATTATCCTCATTTCACATAAAAGAAATCTCCAAACATCGCTTGACTTTTCATCGGTGAAAATTGACAAATTCTCGTATATCCATACATAATTCACGCTAATTCACTACTAATTAGTCCAAGCAGGTATTTATCTATTTATTTATTTACACATTTGTGACTCTTTAGTGTACCAAAAGTATTAAAAATTATATATTACGCATAAATGATACAAAACTTATAAAAATAATACAAAATTTATACATTATGCATAAATTGTACAAAAGTTATATTACACATAAATTACACATTATACATAAATTATACAGAACATACACAGAATCGTCATAGGATCGTAATAATTGTGTAAATCGTGTACAAAAAAAGTTCAGTGATCCGCATAACAAAATTATTGTAATGACGATTCCATTCAAAAAATTCAATTTAACATAGTTAGTCCCACGATTCGTAATCGGCAATCACCGACAAATTATATTTCTGGAAAAATCCGTGCCGACAAACACGGATTTCGTTGCACAAAACGTCCCGGTTACTCGACGTGATGTACCCTTGTTCCCGGAACGCGGGTCTTTCGAATCCATTAACAAAGTTCTGCATAATCGTCGGAAACTCGAGATGGATTCCATTTCTTCGACGGCTACGCTCTGGGATCCTCACGCAGCCCCATTTCTCGGCGAAAGTCCGTCGCGCCGCGCAGATTTTTCGTTCGAATTTCCGGCTCGCGTTTCGTCTGGCGTCAATTAACGAAACTCGATCCGTGCTGGGACACTCGGCTCGACGATTCAGCCACTGTTCGCCGAAGTTCCGGCGAAGTTTCGCCGGCCGGAACTTGGTCGTTTTGCATTTTATAACAGGATCGTCCGACGCGACGCAACGCGACGCGCCGCGGCAGAGTTACGAATGCATTCGGTTTCCGGCGACTTGTTTACGAACCGGGACCCTCGTAAATCAGCCTCAAGATCACCTAGAATTAACTTGCCGTTCGAGTAATGGAATGCTCTTCCCGCTCCTCGTCGACGAGCCAGAGATTCGTGCAGAGTAGAAAATTAGTCGAACACAATTTTCTTCGGGCAACATTCTTCGAATATAATTTTATGTGGATAATATAATATTACGAATCAAATTTTATTTGGGAAATATTTCGAACAAAATTTTATCCATATAATATTTTTTGAACGAATTCATCGAATAAAATGTCATATTTATATTATATTTATATAGATTTATATATATTGGATTATTTTCTCTCTTTTGAATACTCAGAAGTTTTTCCTTCTAGCATATAAGTTACAAAAACGAATCGACGCCGAGAGTCTCGCCAAAGTACCATTAGATAAACAATGATTTCATATGTATATAGAACAGAGTGCTCTTTGTCTTTAGGTGACGTTTTTGGTTTCGTCTTTGTGAATAGTCTTCAGTCTCCTGGAGCAATCAGGAGAGTAAAGACGGTCCTTCCTCGTACATCAAATTAATAAACTAAAAGGGATAAGTTTAATTCACTGCGTTTTACTTTTATTTATCTACCCATTTCCAATAATATAAGATATAAATCCTTCGAATATAATTTTATTACCATAATATTTCGAATAAAGCCTACGAATACAATTTTATTCCAATAATATCTCGAATAAATTCTTCGAGTAAAATTTTATCCGAATAATAATATCGAATCAATTATTCGATACAAAATTCGAATAATAATATTTCGATATAAATTCGATGTCCATTTTACCATAGTACCGGATAAAGATTGTATACGAAAGTCATTCTATCCTCTTCTGTTCACAAATTAAAACGTTCCGCTTGCAGTTTCAAATAATTTTGAAAGCTCGACATTTCGTATCCAGTACGAATCCCGCAAAGTACTGCAACAACAATGAAACGTGATTTCGATACGGCTTTACGAAGCCGGGACAGTATTTTCCAGCGGAGCGCGATATTGTTTAGATTTATCGGTAACGAGAGGCGACGTGTTCGGCGATGTTCCATCGGACTGCACACCGAAGAACAGTTCTGTTTTAGTTGGCCCATTTCTGTTACAGAGCTGAACTCGACGTCGCCGTCGACCAGCGAACTCGGCGAGCTGGTCGAGGAGGTCGAGAACGACGAATTAAACAAGGACACGGACGACGACGAGGATGCGGTCGAAGACATCCTTTATATGCGCGGCGCGTCCTTTACGATACACTTGGACCCGCCGCCCGAGAACACCACCGCGAATTCGACGAAGATTAACGACGAGACTGGCGCACCACTCGATCGGGTCGAGTTACGAGCCACCTCGCAGGTACGTAACCGTTTATTACCCCCGTTTTTTTTTCACGGCGGACTTTTACGATNCACAATTTTCTTCGGGCAACATTCTTCGAATATAATTTTATGTGGATAATATAATATTACGAATCAAATTTTATTTGGGAAATATTTCGAACAAAATTTTATCCATATAATATTTTTTGAACGAATTCATCGAATAAAATGTCATATTTATATTATATTTATATAGATTTATATATATTGGATTATTTTCTCTCTTTTGAATACTCAGAAGTTTTTCCTTCTAGCATATAAGTTACAAAAACGAATCGACGCCGAGAGTCTCGCCAAAGTACCATTAGATAAACAATGATTTCATATGTATATAGAACAGAGTGCTCTTTGTCTTTAGGTGACGTTTTTGGTTTCGTCTTTGTGAATAGTCTTCAGTCTCCTGGAGCAATCAGGAGAGTAAAGACGGTCCTTCCTCGTACATCAAATTAATAAACTAAAAGGGATAAGTTTAATTCACTGCGTTTTACTTTTATTTATCTACCCATTTCCAATAATATAAGATATAAATCCTTCGAATATAATTTTATTACCATAATATTTCGAATAAAGCCTACGAATACAATTTTATTCCAATAATATCTCGAATAAATTCTTCGAGTAAAATTTTATCCGAATAATAATATCGAATCAATTATTCGATACAAAATTCGAATAATAATATTTCGATATAAATTCGATGTCCATTTTACCATAGTACCGGATAAAGATTGTATACGAAAGTCATTCTATCCTCTTCTGTTCACAAATTAAAACGTTCCGCTTGCAGTTTCAAATAATTTTGAAAGCTCGACATTTCGTATCCAGTACGAATCCCGCAAAGTACTGCAACAACAATGAAACGTGATTTCGATACGGCTTTACGAAGCCGGGACAGTATTTTCCAGCGGAGCGCGATATTGTTTAGATTTATCGGTAACGAGAGGCGACGTGTTCGGCGATGTTCCATCGGACTGCACACCGAAGAACAGTTCTGTTTTAGTTGGCCCATTTCTGTTACAGAGCTGAACTCGACGTCGCCGTCGACCAGCGAACTCGGCGAGCTGGTCGAGGAGGTCGAGAACGACGAATTAAACAAGGACACGGACGACGACGAGGATGCGGTCGAAGACATCCTTTATATGCGCGGCGCGTCCTTTACGATACACTTGGACCCGCCGCCCGAGAACACCACCGCGAATTCGACGAAGATTAACGACGAGACTGGCGCACCACTCGATCGGGTCGAGTTACGAGCCACCTCGCAGGTACGTAACCGTTTATTACCCCCGTTTTTTTTTCACGGCGGACTTTTACGATTCGAACGCACAGGAATCTCATAACGTCATCTTGCGTCCAGAATTAATTGATTACGACGCGAGCCTCGAGACTGTTTCCCTATGGAAAACCTTGGAGATTCGATAATAATCTCGCTTTGTGATATTTTCCTTCACGTTACAATTTTGCAATTCATTTACATTATATCTCAACCACCTTGTAATTCAATCACATTATTCACGACTTTCAGTCAATTCAATTATTTGAATCGTTCAGTACAATGCAGTTGACGTACAATGTAATTGGCATACAATGCAATTGAGATACAGTGCAATTGAAATGCACGGTGATTGATATACAATACAATTCAAATACAATGCGAATAAAATACAATGTATAATTGAATCGAATTACTGGTCAGAATTTTGAAGAAGTGAGATACATTTTTGTTCCTCTTTCGTATACACTTTTTTGTGTCTCTCTGTACTTTTACAATAATTATGATCAATTGAGGAAATATACTGGTATCTTTACGTCACAACATTTTTCGTCTCGAAGTTCTTAGACGTTCGGCAACAAATTTTGTAAAACAGGTACTCGTACTTTTAGTACGATTACGTGAAACTGAGTGGCTATTTTAGTAGCTTCACCTCACTGTATTGTTCTGTAGGAAAATGTTACCTTAGACGTTTCTGAAAAATGATTTACGACAGATAAGCCATTTATGGATACTCGTACTATCATAGTGATTACGTGATATCGGATAGTTATTTTAGTATTTTCGCGTCACGATATCTTTCTGTAGGAAAGTCTTGCCTCAGACATTCACCAATAAATTCTGTCTAGCACATATTTGTATATTATAATACTGATTACGGTAAATATTAGGTAGTTATTTTAGTAAGCTCGTATCACGAAATTATCTAATTTTATTATCTAATAAAATATATAACCTGAGACGTTCCTAAATTCTTTATGAAGCATAAACTGCAGATCCTGTGTTTTTACAGCGTTTATAAAAGATGTTGAGTAGATTTTTTAGTAACCTCGCCTTGTGATATTTTTTTCTTTTAGTAATATTTTAACTTAGACATTCAACAAAAAGTTATCAGTAATAGTAACGGATAAACGGTGTCTTTTGTGCTGTCATAATGATTATGCAAAATTTTATACAGTTTGATAAATTCGAAGCATATTTTCGATCTTGTATTCAATCATAAACTCGATCACAAACTCGATCGTTCGACAAAAATCAGTGTTTTATTAGATTTATTAAAATCAGTGAAATTGAATTAAAGAAGTGGATGTTCTATTTCTAATCTGATATTTGAACGCGCATTTTGATAACCTTAGTATGATCTTTATGGCACCGAGCAGAAATAATAGATCGGCAGGACGTGTGATCGTAAACTTAAAACGTAGATCACTGGCATCAAAATTTACAGCTTCGACCAGGTGCACTTGAATAGCTCTAGACACAGGAGCAGAAATGCTACTAGTAGCTATTTCATTACCGCTTTATAGCAGCCTCTATTAAACTAAGAAATAATAACAAACGTTTAATAAATTACAGCTGACCCAATTTTATAACAATATCTTCCATTAGTCGGAAAAAAGGATTCATAAAAATATTTCTTTTAAATCAATTTTCGAGTATTATTGAAAATCGTCTTTTTATTATTTCACACTGATAAATTTCTGATTAATTTCGGGGACATTATTGTCTGATTTTACTGCCACAAAGTCTAAATAATTTTATACATTTGAACAAATTGCATCAAACATGAAACAAAAATTGCCCTTTCTTCTATATGTGCCGAAAATATTTCATAAAAAATTATACCATCTAAGTTAGCCCCACTACGAAGCACTAAGATTGAATTTCTCAATATTATAAATTTTTGCAAATTATATAAAATCATTCTGTTTCAACTGCAAGGAATATAAACTAAAGAAAAAGTCGTTTCGAAAATAACGACATCCTCAAATTCCGTTGATATTCCTGCTCTGCCAAATTTCATCGACTCAGTTTCACCACGAATCCCTAAAATTCCCAACCGACAAATTGTTTCCATACGATGCGCGGTGCTCGGTTTCAGTATCAGAATGGCGAATATACCACACGGCTCGTTAAAAAACACAATTTCCTTAACAAAATATCCTAACTCGATGAAACGCGTATCGAGTTTCGATCGACGTAAAACCGCGGAAACATTCGTCGCACAGATTCCCCCACTCGGGATAAAATTGCGAATTAAATCTGAAACACATTTGTGGAAGCGAAAATTGTTTCCACGATCGTGGCGGATCGATTCGCTCGAAAAAGGTTGAACAGCTAACGAATGCGCTCTATCGACCCAACGCGCCACAAAAAAGTTGTACTCAATAATTCCAAATAATAAAGACCTTCATAACGAACATCCTCGCATAAATCGGCCATTTTCACCGTGCTCCGAACAGTTTCGGGGTTAGAACGCTGGCGGAAGCGATCGTGGAACCACAACATCGGCCGTTTAGATATCCACAGGTCGTGAAACAGCGAATAAAAATCAAATACGTTCGCGTCGGGCTGTTAAACATTGTTTCGCCTATTTCTCGCCGGCGCATTTCATTCGCCGTGATCCGCGACGGTCGATCCGTGCACGGTTGTCTGCGCGAAAATTGGACAATTCTCAATTTATCTCGAAACGTTCGAACGGTACTCCATTCCGAGCACGTTACACTCCTTTCCTTTTGTTTTTTTTCATATTATTGTTTCCTATTTGTCGATAGGTGCTCGTTTGCATCTGTTTCTCCGCCACCTCGTTGCAGATTCACTCAGGAGTAACATTTTGTTATAACTTCTCAACCGTTAAGGATACTTCAATGAAATATTCACGAAAACTATTTTAAAAAAAACATTATTTTTTCTTTACTTTCAAGTTACTTTATTGCACACGGTGATTTAAAAAAGTATTTCAACAAAATAATCATTTTTAACCATAGCATTCTTTTAATCAAACGCATTCTCTTGAATTTGTTGAACGATCTTTTTTTTTATTAATTTTCGTTGATATTTCCTTAAAATTACCAAAATGGTAAAATCGCATCTCGAACGTGTCAAAAGTTATATTTCATAATAATTTACAATAACTATAATTCGTTTAGTGGTCTGGATCGAAAAATTTAGCGACATTTGTGTATATAAATTTTTAACTATAACAGATACTGTCAGAAAACTTGGGCTGAGTAATGCTCCAATGTTAGGTCGCAGGTATATTTTTCGCAAGGTGTCATTGAATTTCTCAATCCAGCCCATTGTGCGACATTCGCCATTCATGCGTGTCACATGGGAATATCGCGACTGTTCTGAACTTATTCAGGATAATTGGAAAATTGTTTGAGTTATTTATCGGGCTGGTTTCAATCTCAATCTCAGTTTCTGTAGAATTCAAACCGGACCCGCGCCATTCTCTCTCTCTCTGCATTCCATCTGTAGCCAACGTATTCGACGGAAATAGTCGAAATTTTGCAACGATTTCGAGTCGACTTATCGAAATAGAAATCTCTAGTGTCGTCGCATTCCGAACGGAACAAAGGAAGCTGGGCCCTTTGTCGCGCGATTTCATCGACCGTTTGAATCCGACCATCGGTGTTGGGACTCTGATTACGCTGTCCATTTATTTTATATTTATTTTATATATTTGTTTTTATTACATTATATTGCATTATCATTTTTCATGTCAACCTTTCCAATAAGAAAGATTCTGCGATTCCGATGACATAAAAATTCCAAGAACTTGATTTGATTTCAAACGAATTTTCAGAATGTTATACAATTTACGATCGATTTGAAAAAATTTGTCTGGTTCGTTAACATGATTTCGTCGCGTCCAGTATGTTATAAAATGAGTATTTAAATTGTGAATAGCGCATACTTCGTCGTCGATGGGTTAATTTCGCGTAGCACTGTGCTCGAGATAAGAGCGCAGGTGTTTAGGATAATAAAGCGGCCGATTAATTTCGTTTTAGATCTCGCGCGGCCTCGGTGTTCCAAGCGTTTGCGGGAATTAACAGAAAAATTTCAAAAGACGGGGGAACGAGCGGGAACACTGGCGGGTCCATTAGCCGGGACCTCGCATTTCCATAGAAATCGTGCGGCGGTTTTCAGATAGCGGCCGTTTTCCACGCAACCCCGGACTTCCTCCGCCCTTATTCAAAAGGTCTTCCGGATAAAAACGTCGCGACGCCGTGCAACAGGTCCGTGTACAAGCGCCGTAGCCGCCGGTTCGTTCTTCGGCCGCCTTGGGTCTCGTTGTTTCCTCCCTGATCCGCGATAACCCTGGAAGAACTATCGATCGGCTAATGGTGTTCGCGGCTTCTTCGGGGCCGGATGGTGTCTTCACTGAATAATAGATCGTTTCGAAACGTCTCGGCCGATTTTTTGCACACTTTCCCACCGATTTCCGTAGACCCCTCCATCCAAAGACTCTACGAGATGTCGAATATTGATGATATTCTTCAGATTTTAAAGCAGCTTTCGACGATTTCGTGTTGTCGCGTTGTTCGTCGTTGCTAGGATTTTATTTAACCCCTTATTTCCCTAATGGAACGAGACCATTTCTGTTTCTTATACCGCGCGGCGGCCATGTACTTACGTACATTTGAAAAATGATATAAGGTTTTCAAAACTGGACTCTTTTTAGATAATAGAGGGATTAGACTATTAGACGACAACTATAATATTTTTTAAAATAATATTTTATGCTATTGTACATAATGTGATATTTCTTTTTAATTTTTATATTACTTGAAATAACAAAAACAATAAGAGACACATATTTTTTAACTTTGTTATCTTAACTTATAATAAAGCTTTTAAAAATGTGTTTTGTAGATCTTGCTGACTTATATACGTACTGAAAATTTTACCTTGGTATGAGTTGTATACAATTGGAGATCGCAAAAGTCGCAATTTTGTCTCGATTTCTGTCCAATTTTTCGTCCAATACGTGCGAGAACTTGACTTTGCGTTAACCGATTTCACTGAAGTCTTCGGTACGCTTATAAGTTACCAGGATCTACGATAAAATAATAAAAATAATAAATAATAAAATTAAAATAATAAACAAAAAAATTAAAGAACATTTGTTTCTTATTTTTTTTTGTCATTCGAAGTAATATCAAAATTAAAAAATATATATTATAGTCATTGTCTAATAATCTAGTACCTCTATTACCTAAAAAAAAATTAAGATCGTTTAGTCCAGTCTTAAAAAACTTATACCGTTTTTCAAGTGTAGGTAAGTATATGGTCGCCACTGTGTGTGGCCTAATTTACTTTCTTTCTCTTACTAATACTACTAATTTACTTTCATTCCCAGATTTTGATAACAAAAGAATCAAACTTTGTTTCGATTAAGAAGAAATGAACGACATTCGTATTTAGTATGTTGGAGATAAAATCTTCGTCGCGGGTCTGACTCGTTATTATAGCGCAAGGGGTTAACAATTTTCAGGCTGGTCGAAATTCTATTTAAGAGGGTATTCTATTCTAAAGCATAATTTTTAACATTTTCTTTTGAGATTTTTGGAAAAAAGAAGTGGAACACATATTTGTATCGGATCGTTTCGCATATTTTGTTCTCGCATATTTCATTTGTTTTTAAAAACAAAACGAAAAATCGACAATCGAACCTTAACGTGTTGCAAAATATTTAATTTTCAATATTTCCGTATCTTAGTTCCGAGCATAACCGTTTATACTGAATATAATGATTAGACTTATTATAATATTATATTCATGAAAATATTATTGTCATTGTTTATTATTTTCATATTTTAACAATTTAAGGATATTTATTTAACAATTTCAGGAGATTTTTGTTTCACTCGTGTTTTATTTTGCCTAAAGATCCGCAGTCTAATAATAATTTATCTATCTCTTTATCTCTTGTGTGTTTGCAAA